GTGTGTGTGTGTGTGTGTGTGTGTGTGTGTGTGTGTGTGTGTGTGTGTTTGAGAGAGAGTTCCTCTGTGTAGTATGCAGCAGCCCTGGCTATCCTGGAACTCACTCTGTAGACCAGGCTGGCCTCAAACTCACAGAGACTCCCCGTTTCTGCGTCCCAAATGTGGTGACTAAAGGCATGTGTCACCACTGCCCGACAGTCCTCGTTTTTACAAACCAGGTCTGAAGTAGGGCCCACACCGCTTCTGTGCCAAGTATATCCTGCATCATACTCACAACCCCGACAGGAAAGGCCAGCACGGCCAGCGTCCAGTCCCGGAGGGAGATGAGCTTCCTAAGCTGTCGCTCTTGCTCCTGGTTCCCGCTGTCTCTGGTCAGGAGAGTGGAGAGATCGGTCAGCACACAGATGCCGAAGAAGACAGCCTGGATAACCTGAAAGGAGACAATCACCCAATCTGGTCAGCAAGAACTGCAGAGACTGAAGCCCTGGGCACAAAGGCAGGCTGTGTCTGCACTATGACACACGAAGAGAACATGTCCAGAGCCTCATTACGAAGCTCACCCTGAAAATGAAAACCAGAGGTTTTTGTTGTTTGTCGGTTTGTCTGTTTGTTGACAATTAATAAGGTGAGAGGACTCTTCTTAAAAACACTCCTTTCACCCCCCCACCCCCACAGCTCAGGGAACATCACAGAAGATGGGGCGGGGAGATTGTCAGAGCCAGATTATTGGCGAAAGTGCTGGAGAGCCAGAGATGGGGAGAGGCCGCTGTGAAACAGAGCCTTCTGGACTTGACAGAGCTCTGGCCCCGTGAGCTCAGAGCGCTGCAGTCCCCTGCAAAGCAGCTGCACAAGATCAACCAGTCAAAATTCCAGTAGGAACAGGGGAGGGGCTTGCAAAGCCCCGCCCACAGCTGAGGCATCTGAGGGCTGCTGGGGCAGAGAGAGTCCGTTTTCATCAGGGGTGTGACCCCTAGGATTCTAACCAAGCTCCAGGGAATGGCCTCCCACCCATGCACATAAAGGCGGCAGTGACCGAATGGATGTGGTGGGGGTTTTTTTTTTATTGATTTTTATTGAGGTCTACATTTTTCTCTGCTCCCCTCCCTGCCTCTCTCCTCCCCCCTTCAGTGTGGCGGTTTAAATGAGAAGAGCACCGGAGGCACCTACCTTTGAATGCTTGGTCCCAAGTCGGTGGAACTTTTTGTGAAAGATTAGGAAGTGTGATCATATTGGAAAAGGTGTGGCATTGAGGAGGAGCTTTGAGGTTTCAAAACCCCACACCATTCTTTCCAGTAATCAATCTCTCTCTCTTTCTCCCTCTCTCTCCCTCCCTCCCTCCGTCCCTCCCCCTCCCTCCTTCTCTCTCTCTCTCTCTCTCTCTCTCTCTCTCTCTCTAACTTGCACCACTCAAGGATAAGATAGAGGGAAGCTCCAGATACTGCTACAGTGACATGCTCCCCACCATGATGGTCATGTACTGACCCACTGAAACTGTAAGCAAGCCCCCACTTGAATGCTTTCTTTGGTAAGGTGCCTTCGTCACAGTATTTTGTCACAGCAAAAAAAGTATCTGGGACAGTGAGTTATAAAAAGTTGGGAGAGGGATGAGGAGGAGCTGGAGGGGGCATCTGGTTAGATGTGATCAAAATACATGAAGGAAATTCTCAGGAATAGTTTTTTAAATTTTGCTACCTTAAAAGAGCTGCCACCAATATGCCACAACAGGGAATTTGAGTACATGATCCGAAATGAAAACAAAACAAAACAACAAAATAAACCCCTCCGCTTCCATAAAGATGCACACACACATACACACACACACACACACACACACACACACACATACACACACACACCTATGTAAACTCAACAGAAAGAATACTTGTCAGAACAGCATATTCACTATTTGAAAGCTCACATATGCATCTGTTTATACTCTCTAAACAATGGGCACACGGTAAATAAGAAGCTAAGTGTGGAGAGTCCATCTCTGGGCATCACTGGGCATCTTCTGCTACAGGAGTGATAGAAATCTGGTCATAAAGAAATCAAGTGAGCACAAAGATCCACTCTGACATGGAGCAACCTTCCATTATGAGTACCGAATGGCTCTTAGATTTTTAGTACTGATGATATCAAACCTTTCCCAAGTGACGTAGAGATGTTGTGAACACTGTCTCTAAACAGTTTCTGGTATTACAAACCAATTACAGATGGAATAATTCACAACAGTCAGACTTTCCTTGGGCCGAGGCATGGGGAGAACCCTGGAGAACCCTGCAATAGTGCAAATCAATAGTGTCAACCTCCTGACATAGGGCCAAAGTTGTGGATGCTGAGTGCAGGCAGCACAACAGGGCTTAGACAAATGAGATTAGAGGGCAGAAAATATATTCCCTGGGGTCAGATCTTATCTACTTAACACCAAAGAAACGGTAGATTCAGAAGTTTCCTGACTTCTTCAAGCAGAAATAATTTACTGAGGACTTATTTTTAAAGGATGCAATACTCCTTGCTTTGTAGAACAAAACAAATACTTTAGAAGGAAAAGAGCATTTCCACATTGGCAGTGGGAAGAGTCCGTGGAAGTTCTGTGCATGGTTCCTCACTGGGCACAAAGCAACATCTGGTTCCAGCTGTGGGCTCACCCTGTAGCACACATGTCGTTAGAAGCGTAGGTCCTGGGGATTCCCCCAAACCCTGCTATTACTAGTCTATTACCAAAGCCACAGTCACGCTCCAGTTTTCCTCATAATTTAAATTGGTTTTAGCTTCCATGGCTTTGACTCTATTGTCGTTTTATAAATAGCCAGAGCGGGAGAAGCCGAGATTGCTACAAGAGAGAAGAACACAGAAGTGGGGACAAACAGCATCATGTTCTCGTAATCACAGATAAATGACTCAGAGAACAATTCCCTACTTAGGAAATTTCTCATCTTATATCGTAAGGTTTAAGATGTTTGAACCTCTCTGGAAGCCCTTGCAGGGTGTGAGACATCAGAGACCACACCAGGGAATGATTTTCCCCATGACTGTTAGTCAGCATCCAGTGCCCTGTGGGACCAATTCCTAGGAGAATTCAAATTACAGCCACAATGAGATAGCATTTGTCATCAAAACCATGATACAAGTAAGCTCTGACTCAACCAGAGCTTACACTGGAACACGGTTTGGACAAACATTGTTAGAATAGACAACACCTAATAATGCTATGATTCCTAGGCACTCTTGCCATGTGGACCAGACCATGTGGACCAGACCAGGAAAGATATGTCCTGAAGCAATGACTCTCAATCTATGGGTTGCGACCCTTTGGAGGTGAAATAAGCTTTACACAAGGGTCCCCTAAGACAATCGGAAACACACAGATATTTACATCACCATTCATAACAGTAGCAAAGTTACAGTTATGAAGTAGCAGAGAAAGCAGGTTTATGGTTGGGGATTACACAAGGTGTAATTAAAGGGCCACAACAATAGGAAGGTAGAGACCCACTGCCCTACAGAAACCTTGCTCCACGTCAGTACGCACACCTGGGGAAAGTCGATTTCAGCCTTTACTGTTTTACCAGAGTTGGACTCATCTACATGTCTTTTTAATATAAGGCTGAATAAATTGTGCCAGATTTACACAACAGCATTCACATCTCATAACAAAAACTTTCCGATCTCGACAACAAAATATTAAACTAAAAACAGAAACAAGAAACAGCATATTTTGACACTATTAAAATAAATTGTGAGAAATGCAAATATCAGGATACATGCACAGGCAGTAAAACAGGAGGAAACACATGGGGATTAATAACACTGAACTCGGGCTGGAGACGGTGTGTGTTGCCACACACTGCGCTTGCAGAGGACCTGAGTTCAACATCTACTGCGAGATGCCCCACTGCCTGCTGTGTTAGTTCCAGAGGGTTCCTTTGGTCTCTGTGGGCACACACATGTGGTGCACACCCTCACAGATGCACACAAATAGGTGTGGATAACAGTAAGGCTAAATATTAACCCTGAACTCAGATGCCTCTGGAAAAGAAGAGAGT